ATCCAACTACACTATTATTGGACCCTTGCCATGTACCAAACTAAACTGGATTGGATTTTTTCATAAAATAGGTTTTCAAAAACAGAGAGAAATAAGAGAATTAAAAACTAACCACAACACTAGACTTTCCACACTTTCACTTCATTCGATTATGATTCGACGTGAAAAGTATTCATCATCGAGTTTGGTTTTGGGGAGACACAAATGGGTGTCTACAGATACCAACACAATTTAGTATGTAGGAGGCCAAAAGAGGTCACCTACCCATGTTACATGGCATAACCCTGAGCAAGAAGTAGTGTCCAAAGACACTTGATGAGTGACACAAGGATGAATTATTTGACAAGAAGTAGTGTCCATATGATTCAATTATTTGATTGATCATGTATGCCATGATATGTACTAGGCCAAATGTATCTTATGCCTTGAGCACTACGAGCCGATACCAACCAGACTCAGGAGAGGCAAATTGGACTACAACCAAGAATATCCTAAAGAATCTGAAAAGGAATAAGGATAAATTCCTAGTATATGGTGGCTCAGAAGAATTAGTAGTTTAGGTTATACCGACGCAAGCTTCCAAACAAGCATAGACGATTTCAAATAACAATCTGGATATGTATTATGTCTAAAAGGAGGAGCATTTAGTTGTAAGAGTGTCAAGTAGATCACAACTGCATATTCTACAACTGCTGAAGCGGTTAAGGAGGTAGTTTGAATTCGTAAGTTCGTTGGTGAACTTGATGTTGTACCCTCCATCAAGGGTCCAATAGCCCACTATTGTGACAACAATGGAGCTATTGCTCAGGCCAAAGAACCAAGGGAGCTTCAGAAGGTCAAACATGTCAAGTGGCGATTTCACATAATAAGGCAATGGACATCAGAGGGTGAAATCAGAATTTGTAAAGTTGGAACGGACGACAATGTAGCCGATCCACAACTAAACCTCTTCCTCAACTGAAGCACAACAAGAACGTTGAGGCAATGGGAATCAGGCACGTTGGAGATTGGCTTTGATTTCTTTGTTTAGTGTTTAATTAATTTTTGAACATTTTAATGTAAGACACTAAGATGAACCATTAAGGTATTGGAGTAATTTAATTTCATGCAATTTTATCACTCCGTTTCTATTTAATTGTGGTTTAGAATATGGAGTCCATTCGATTCTAAGAATATTCAAAATAGAGTATCAAGACCAGTCTTGGATAAAGAAACACCTATAAATTGAACATTGAATATTATAATCGCAAGTTATCCCTAATCGATGTCATTTAAATGATGGACGATTAATGACCGCTTGAGATTAGTGTGTGGTTTGATTTATAGAACCGTTTCTTGTGCTACAAGGGCATGATTGTCATAAATCATTTGCACAGGTATTGGTTTAGAACCATACTAGATCGACCTATGAGAATACTTTAAGAGATTTAAAAATTGTCATAAGTATACTTCTCATTATTGCTATCGGAACCTCTTTCCTTGACCATGAGTATTTTGAGATCTCTTATTTAAGTACTAGTTCGTTTTGATGTTAGTCAAATATTTGCCATACATGGAGATTATAACGGCCACTCGGGCGGCTAGGTCCTCTTAGTAAGAGAAGTTGACATTACAAGACTGGGAATGTCCCCCTACTATGGAACATGTCTTTGTTGTTTACAACGCCTCTCAAAGAGCAAGACTGTAAAAACGCATGGTCGTGCTCAGATGGATTTTAGAAATGATTTGATTATTGACAGTCATACTCGGATTTCAAGAAACACTTTTGGACGTAATAAGGATGACGAATAATCTTACCTTATAGTTCATGAAGAGACATTAAGTGACATAGGAAAAAGGTTATACACTAATAGCACACTTGTCCCGATAGAGGTTTCTAGCAATTATAAAGCTAATTATTCAGTAAGGTCAAGTAATCGGAATACCTAGGTGGAGGTTGCTTCCGATCAATAATATCAATGAATAATTAATATTACAGCTTAATCTTGACTGAACCCTTCAGGTCACACCCAAGAACCTAACGATCCGACACGACAAATTAATTCAAAACAAATTAATGAGTTTCTCGAGTAATATAAATTTAGACGTCGAAAATCGAGCTAGGAGCGTCGAGACCAAGCGTCGCAAGTCGAGTCGAATTAATAAAAGACGAGACTCGGTAAAATCAATAAGTAATCAACAAGTTACCAAAATACCTTTAGCATTGGAATGCCTTGAGAAAACTGAGTGCTAGGGGCACTTGGTATATTAAGGTGGCTATCATGTGCACGAAACCGAACCTAGGCTGGCTGGTTTGTGCTACGGCATGCTAGCGCACCAATGCTAGCACATGGCTAGCAAGCCGTGCTAGCATGTGTGGGACAATAGCAGGATCGAGCTAGCAGCGCGCTAGCGTGCTAGCAGTGTGGCGCACAATGTCCTCGGCCAACAGCCCGCAAGCAATGCCTGTCTTGATGAGCCAAGGAAGCAGCACTGGTGCACAAACCGTGCGCCCAACAATAGGCCTAGCCACGCGCACCAAGTGCCAGCAAGGCTACTTGGGTGCCAAGTCTTGGCCTGCCATGTGGCAACCGCTCATTGGAGCTAAGAGTGATGAGTGGCAGTTTTTTGGGAGCCTTGGGGATCAAGTATTGGTCCCCCCCTCCCCTTGTGGTCCTTACCTAACCTCTCCTCTTAGAATGCTACTTGTTGATTAATTAGTTGTTGGCTATTTTCTTTTATTTTTTATTTAAAACTAAAAAGGGAAAATTGATTTTACCAACCCTCCCACATTGATGAGAGGGTATATTTCTCACTTGAGTTTCCCTATAAATATCCTTCTCGAGAATTGGGAAAACTCACTTGAGTATAGGGATGGCAACGGGTCGGATCTGGACCGGGTCCGAATAGACCCGAATCCAGATCCGTTTTGTATATAGGATCCAGACCCGACCCGGATCCGTCGGGTCTAGAAAATGAAGACTCGGATCCGGATTCGTCGGGTCCAATGGATCCGGGTCCCGATCCGGGTCCAAAACGGGTCCAATATACTTTGCCTAGTTTTTTACAATAAATGTAATGTTCGGATCAAAAAACTTATTTCAAACTTACGTTGTTGGTTATTAAGTTCAACCAACTTATACATTCATATTTTGAATTAAAATTATAAACAACAAAAAAAATACGATGTTACATATGAGCTAGTGAAAAAGCAACGATGATGTATATAATATGAGCATCCAAAATTCATCTCTTGAAAGGGTTAATCTTTATCATTACTAACATTATCAAAAATTTTAATAAAGAAACAAACAATTTTATTTTTTTTTAATAGGAAAAATAAAAAAAACGGGTCCACGGATCTGGATCCGGGTCTAGGGCCCATACCCAAATCCAGATCCGTTTTTGTCAACAGGACCCGGATCCGTCGGGTCCAAAATTTGAAGACCCAGATCCGTGATCCACGGATCCGGGTCGGGTCCAGATCCATTGCCATCTCTACTTGAGTAAGAGCTCAAAAAGGCATATCCACTTGAGAGAAAACCTTAAAGCTTATTAGTTACTCGAGTAGTGTTTTGGTCCGACTTGGCTAACCTCCAAGTAAGAGACCGGTCGGGGTCGCGTTGTGGGTGGATATCATCGGAGGCCCTTGCGCTTGTGAGGCATAGCTTTCTCAAGTAAGAGCTCTGTTGGTCGAGCGAAGCACGCATCAAGGGTAATTTAATCTTTTCTCTAATCTAGTTATTTATGTTTTTTTGTTATATTAATTGTGATTTTTTCCTTAGGCTCGGGTTTTATTTCCACTATATATATGTGTGCGCGCGCGCATACACACACATATATATATATTTCACGAATAATATCCCTTTATTCAAATAATAGGAAAAAAAAAGAAGAGGTAGCATATTTCATCTCATATATATCCACGTTACCTTATACAACCTACATAATATAATTATCATAAAACTATCACATTTGGTTATATACGGTATGATGTATTGTGCAACAAGGGTTACTCAAGTTACTCGATTAGGCGTTACCCGAGTTTCTCGTTCAGGGTTTACTCAAGTTGTAGGGGTTACTCGAGTTTCTCGATCGGGGGTTACTTGAGTTGCCCGGGTTACTCAAGTTTCTCGGTCAAGGGTTTCTTGAGTTACTACTAATCGAGCTACCCCTCAAGTAACCCCTGATTAAGTAACCCCTCGAGTAATCCATGATTGAACCACTCGAGTAACCCCTAACCAAGTAACCCTGACTAAGTAACCCCTGAAATCCCTGATTGAACCCTCAAGTAACCCCTGACCGAAGTCCTTATGTAACCCCTGATTAAATTACTCGATTAACCCCTAACCGAACTCCTTAAACCGAGTAACTCGAGTAATCCCTGACCGAGTAACTCAAGTAACCCCTGACCGAGTAACCCCTCAAGTAAAACCTATTTGATTGAATCCCTCAAGTAACCCTTGACCGAACCCCTCAAATTAAATAAAGTCTGGCCGAGTAACTCGAGTAACCCCTAACTGAATAACTTGGATAACCCCTAACAAAATAACTCGGATAATTCCCGTCACAGTGTAGCATTCTGCACCAAAGAGTTGCTGTAAAATAGCTAGAAGATACTTAGATACTGTGTTTTATGGTATAGTAAAGTAAATAGATATAAATCTCATCGTTTATTTAATTCCTACATAATATAATTATTATCTTCTATTTGCTAATAATTATCATCTATTTGCTACGGCCTACGGAGGTCAAAGATAAGCTAAGAAAGATAACTCTATTTTGTTTTTCAATCAATGTTTTTAGTTGCTTCTAGAAATCCGTGGGCTAAATATTGGATAATGTTGAATCCTCGTAAAGTTTAAAAACACGAAGTGGACCAATTCGTTACCTGCCCAATTGACTTAAACTACTCTTCTTTGAAAACTAAACATCTGAAGAAATAAAATTCAGAATAAGTGACCCATTCATTGACAATAAAACATATACGGAGTAACATTTTGCTATAAAAGACATCATTCAGACACCCTTTAACAACAACTTCAGCAAAAGCCGTAAACACAACATATACGTAGTAGCAAAAAAATATCGAGTGTAGCAAAGTAATAATAAAACAGATGGGAACTCGTCATTTCTTAGCCTTTATTGTTTTTGTTACCCTATCTTCCTATGTCGCCAACGCAACTGACCCTAATCAGCTACAAGATTTCTGTGTCGCTATAAACGACCCTAAGGATGCATGTAAGTCCTTTTTTCTTTTTTACATACTCTTTTCGTCCCATAATACATGAGAAGTTGGATTATTTTTCATTATTCATGCATTAGGTTTGACCATAAATTTTTACTAACATTATCAAAATATGATTTTTTTTACTTCTACCACAAAAAAAATCACGAAATTGTTTTTTACTACCAAAAAATTTATTTTACCTCTAAAAAAATTTCTAAAAATTGTTTTTTACTACCTATAGTCAAGAAAACCGTTAAATTTAACGGTTTAAAAAAAAAATTGATTTTCGTGCGCAAAACATGTTGCTCGTAAGCTTAGGGGGACATTTTGGTCCTTTTGGTCCAATTGAAAGTCAAAATTGACAAAAAATAATAGGAAATAACTCGGTTTGCGTGTGAGGTATTTTTAAACACGCAAAAGGAAGCATTTCAGATTATTTTTTGTCAATTCTGATCTCAAACTGGAGCCAAACAGTCAATATGCCCCTCAAAACCCCTAAAGATGTTGGGTTTGGCACAAAAATCAAAGAATTTAAAAAATTTCATTAGCTTTTTTATGGCAGGTGGTAAAAACACAATTTTTAATTATTTATTAGTGGTAAAATAAAACTTTTGAAATTTTTGGAAGTAAAAAATAATTTTGTGATTTTTTTGTTGATAAAAGTAATTAAAAAAAATTATAATAATATATTTTATCATAAAATAGGTTGCAAGATAGGTTTTAAATTTTTAATATAACGTTTAATAATATTATTTTAAGAATAAATTTTATTAATAAGTAATTATATAAAAATAAAGTTAAACAAGTGCATTGCCATATATGCAAGTTTGACTTTGTCATGTTTTATGGGATAGAGGAATTACTTCGTTATGAAAATTTTGTTAGCCGACCGACTATTTTGGGACCAAGACTTTGTTATTGTTGGTTTTTTTTTTTTTTTTTTTTTTTTTGACAAGGTTGTTGTTGTTATAATGTTAATGTTCATACCAAAAATATATTATATATGGTTATTACATTTGTTATACTATGCAGTGTTTGTGAATGGATTGTTTTGTAAGAATCCAATGGCTGTCAAGGTCGACGATTTTCATTTCCAAGGTCTAGACAAGCCAGGAAACACAGACAACCAAGTTGGCTCCAACGTTACACGAGTTACCCCAGCTAACCTTCCGGGGCTAAACACCCTCGGTTTATCACTGGCTAGAATCGACGTTGCACCTTATGGCGTTAATACTCCCCACCATCATCCTCGTGCCACCGAGGTCCTTACAGTCCTTGAAGGAACTTTCTATGCTGGTTTCGTAACCACAAACCAACCAAATGGTAAAAACAAGTTATTCGCCAAGATACTACACAAGGGAGATGTTTTTATCTTTCCTCAAGGCCTAATTCATTTTGAATCAAATGTTGGGAAAACTCCTGCTGTTGCACTTTCCGCATTTACCAGCCAAAATCCTGGTGTTGTTACCACAGCTGCCGCTACATTCGGGGCTGATACTTCGATCTCCGTCGATGTTCTTACCAGGGCATTCCAATTGGATGCTAATGTGGTGAAGAATCTTCAAACACGAACTTTTGAATGAGCATATCATTACAGGAATATGAGGATATACAAACTGGTTACGTGAACTTTAAACTATATATGTTGTAATACGGTACTTTGATATCTTAAAATAATAACCAAGTAATGTGATCTTGGTTAATTTATGTTGTTTGATGGTCAGGATGTATTCGTTATTTGATAAGAAAATAGTGAGTTTTGTACGAGCGAGTGACTTTATCATTTTTCGTGATTTAGTCTAATTTTCTTGCCCCAATTAATCCAATATTTACAGCTCAAGCTACAAAATTTAGAATCAAATAAATATGAGATAAAAATCTAGTAGTGGAGTTGAGTTTAACATTAACTTGAATATATATGTACCTATTAGGAAAATGTTAACAAGCAAGAGATGTCAAAATGGACACGCTTGAGCACTTTGCTATAAGTGAACACCTTTTTTAGAAAAAAAAAATACTTATAAAGCCTTAGCCGCACCCTAACTTAATATTAAATTTCGTCGGACTTTTAAATATTAATATAATTGTTTTTTTCTTTTTTTTTTTTTATAACTTTCAACTAATTTCTTTAAATATAATAGAGGAGAACTATTTATATGTTATCATCACGTGTTCTAATGTTAAAGCTTTATCAGAATATTGCATCAAAAAAATTCAAACTTAACACTTAAAATAATATAATAAAAAGGAAAATGGAAATTCTCAATAAAAATTCTAGCATGGTCACTCTCAAAATGACCATCACTATACTTAATTTTCATTGGTTGTTTTTAGATTTATTTTTTTAGCTTGGTCAAACCTTATTTAAGGGTAATTAAGGTATTTTGCTTTTTTAATTCATTTTCTTATTTTTCAAATTTCAATTATTGATTTTCTGAAATTCTTAATTTAATTTCGAAAATATTTTATCTAAATCTAATTTTAATAAAATCTAAAATTAAGATTAAAAAAAATATTAAAAATTGAAAATTTGTTCTTCGTCGTTCTTCGATGTTCATCAATGTTCTTCCTAGTTCATCCAAATTTTTCATCAAATAATGAAATCAACCACGATTTTATGTTCCATGAACCTTAATTTCAATCGCGCATCAATTGAGATTGAAAAATAGGCTTGATTTATACAGCCATTGCGCAATTTTATGGTACACATAATCGGTTTCTATCATCTTGTGGGTGGATTCTTAATCTTTGAATTATAGATTTTAATTGTACAAAATCAAGCATCAGATTCAAAAATAGCGATTTAAGGTATAAGAAATCAAAATTTTTTAAGTTTTTCGGTAATATATGTTCGTCATGAAAATCTGAGAAGAAACCATATCACATTTTTTTCACAACTTTTTTTGATCCAAAAAATCGAAGATCGAATTATAAACACTGTTTGTGATAAAGGTATTGACCCAAATACAAATATGACATAACCTTAACTGAATTTTATTAATTATAAAAAGATAATGACCAAATGTAACATTGGACATTTTCAATTATTATAATAGAATTTACTTCGATGGCAATTTATAATACGATGAACCTGGACAATGATTCGAACTAATCAATAAACAAAAATTATGGAATCAATATATTTGAAGTATAGAAATTGCATTTTAATATTGGAAATCACTTTTCTAATTATGATCTTTTCCTAAATTTCTATCTTTTTAAATTTTGAATAAATTATATATTGGAAATCAGTTATTCTAAATAGGATATTTTTCTAATTTATAACCTTTAAAAGTTAAATGATTTTTATCTTTTAAATTTTAAAAACTCTTTACAAACAACAGCGTTAGGGTTCTTTGCTTCACATCTTTATCATCCTCGCATACTCTTTTCAACCGAATTTGTTTCACAGTTTGCACAAGTACCTTTGATATAGGTAATGACATAAGTATGAGTATGGTAAAATCGAATATAAGTATTTGTAAAAGCTTAGTCAATTAATCGGTTTATGTTCATTTAATACTCCATTGCATTTTTCAAACTAAATTTAAAATTTTTTAAATTACCGCCCTTATTTTTCGCTTGTCAGTTACTAAACTTCAATTTTTATCCTTGTCCAACTCTCACCCTTCTCTATCTTAAAAATTACAAAAAAAAATAAAATGGGGGATTCACTAAATTCCGGAGGTTCATCTTCTAGTTTTGGGGGATTCATGGTGAAATGTGGATGTGGTGTTCCCTCTAAGATACGAACTGTGAACAAGCGTAACCACAACAGGGGTAGAAAATTTCGTGGTTGTGGTAAATATCCGGTAAATTTTTTAAATCCTTGTGCTTAATTTGTGACCACAGGAACATAGCTTTCTTTCATATATTTATCATATCAAAATTAAAAAATGGCGACTCACTTTTTAATAGCTCTAATTTCAATATATATAAGTTAACGGCATAAATTTTTATTAGGGTTCCAATTACCAATTAGTTTATTTATATGTTATTATTTATTTTTGGAAAACCAATTAGGGTTTTTAAAATACTTGCAAATTGCGGGAGGCTGACTGTGGTTTTTTCAAATGGTTGTATGATGATGTCGGTGGATGCGTCGAGTGTGATATGATGTCAAAGAGGTTGGATGAAATCGAGAAAGAAGTTCAATCTCTAACTACGAAGCTAGACAAATTGAAGGTTAAAAAATCACAATTTGAGGAGCAAATTGGTGACTTGAAAGGCCAATTATGTCAATCAACTATGGAGAAGAACAAACATATTGCTTACACAACAGTGATTTTGCCAGTGTTACTTATGTCATGGGTTGGGTTTTTTATGTTCAATTATTTTTGAATTTTTTAGTTGATGCTAAACATAATTGAATAAAATACACAGTAGAATTGAATCACTTATTAATAAAGTTGTTATTGCTAATTATTACTTGTTTAATTGTTTTTATATGATAATTTTTAATTAAAGAAATTAATACAGTAAATATAGTAATCAACTTAACAATTGAATATATATATATTAAGCAAGAGAAAAAAAACTTCAAATGGTCTTGACTAATCCAAGCTAACTTATCATAAGTTAATTTAACTAGAAAGTTAATGTTTTGCCATAAAGGACTTGAAAGGTGACATGCCACCATAAAAGTTTTGCCACAAATTAAAGGGATAACCTAGAGTACAACAAAAAGTTCCTTAAAAGCATTGTCGTCTTCATCAACAAAAAACAAAATATAACACCAGTTAGTTTTACACCAAAAGCAAGATCCCTAATCTTGGTTAAAATCCAGCATTCCAGAATCATCATCATCATCATCACCAGATGGTTCATCATCACCAGATGGATCTTCACCAGATGGATCTTCACCACCAGCACTTGGTTTTCCGCTACAGGTTGCATCCAAATAATCATCACTGCCAGCTTTATATTCACAACAATTAACAAAATATAACACCAGTTAGTTTTACTCAATTAATAAAGAATAATTAAAAAAAACAATAGGTAATTACCATAAACATGATTATTGATTACCAATTATAAAACAGATAGCAAATAGAATACCTATAAGTTCCACTGAATTCGTAAAAACTGAAATAGGTAATAACCAAATATATGATAGTTGAATACCAATTATAAAACAGATAACAAATATAACATCAGTTGATTTTACTTATTCAATAAAAAACAAAAATAGGTAATAGCCAAAAACATGATAATTGAATACCAATTATAAAACAAATAACAAATGTTACAAATTATAAAAACAGAGCACATGATTCAAGACAGCAATGGTAATGTAAAAAAACATATTAGGTCATTACAAATATGGACAGTTATGAGTTTAAGGTCAAGAAAGCAATTATAATCACCTGAATCAACACCTTGATCGTCCATTCTAGACTTTGCTATCTCTTGAATCTCAATCATAACGTCATCAGTGAAGATCTCCAGCCTAATGTGCTTAAGCATTTCTTTTACAACAATGCTCTCAAACATGACATCTTTGAGGTTTCCATGCCCTTTTACCTCACCGATATCATCCTCATTTTCTTCATCAACTCGCTCTCGAACTCGAGCACGCTTAACCTCTTTATATACCCACTGTTTTGCCTTCTCATCATACCTGTAACCCAATGCATTACTAACCGTCTTTTTGTTGAATGGTGTTTTTGGTCCAGATTGCACTACTTCATCAGAAAAATCCACACCGAAATGCTCAAAAACTTTGGTTAACCACATCCCATAAGGAAGGAATAAAACTTTCTTTGTTCCCTTTTGAGTTGCAACCATGTAGTCAATCATCATCCTTGGCATATTCATCTTCACGTCGGTAAGTATAAAGTACATGACCAACATGTCAAGATATGTTAAGGAAGACAGTCTACCATTGCGGTAATTTAACGTATAGAAAAGAATCAAATGCAGCAGACGAGTAGGCAGTGGCAGATCATTAATTTTTTGTTTCTTTTGTCTACCAGCGTCCTCTTCCATTAGCACGTACAAGATTGAGACATTTTTGTCGATTAAATGCCTCAAGAGTACTCCATCTCTTACCCGGCAGAGCGGCGTGCACCCCATGTCGCGGGATTTTCAAGATTCTAGTCAATACACTTTCATCCAACTTAATCTCTTTTCCCTTTACCCAAGTGTATATTACTCCCTTCGTTTTGTTAGCATGATCAAAGTGAGTGTAGAATTGGCGAACAAGGTCTGGGTATATAGGATGTTGTTCTGTTAGAAACTTCTTCCATCCTTGGAGTTTAAACCACTGATGTATAAAACCAGCATGGGCTTCGCCAAGGGATTCAAAATCTACATGTCGCCCATCACAGATTTCCCGATTACTGAATGTCTTGTAGAATAACTCTCGGTACAGGTTGGACCGGAACCGTTCATCAGCTTCTGGTGCTTGGTCAGTGTCAACACCTGCTGCACCATGAGAAGGTCTTGTAGGAGTGGATGCAGTTTGCCTTGTTTTTCTTTTTGCATGAGGGGAAGTTTCTTCCAACCCAACCATGGGAGCCCCTTTTCTTGGTCTCTTGTTTGCTCGCCTTGCTTGTTGCTTTACTTTAACCATTTTTCTGAAAAAAAAAGAAGCATAAAGTCTTGTAAGACATATTGGTGTAGATTTTAAAGATAAATTATCCAACCAAATAGAGTAATCATAAAACCAATGACAAGTTTAATATTTCATTCACTTTCAAATGCATACATGTATACACCAATGGAATAAAATATCATTACCAAAGGTTACTAGAATAAGGCATTTACTGTCATAGAAAAAC